AATGGACTTCTGAAGCTGAGGCATCTTTTATTGCTATCAAGAATGCTCTTGTGTCAGCACCTATTCTGTGTCCTCCTGATTTTGCTCATCCTTTTACCATCCAGTGCGATGCAAGTGATGTAGGCATAGGTGGGGTGTTGACCCAAGAAATTCAGGGTGTTGAAAGAGTCATAGCATATGCTTCAAGAACATTATCGAGAGCAGAACGAAATTATAGCGTGACAGAGAGAGAATTACTTAGTCTCATATTTTTAATTGACAAATTTCGTCCATATATAGAAGGCACTGTTTTCAATGTAATCACTGATCACCATAGCCTCCTTTGGCTAAATAACCTTTAAGATCCTTCAGGAAGATTAGCTAGATGGTCCGTCAAGTTACGGCAGCATACTTTTCAGCTACGTCATTTAAAAGGCATTCATAATGTAGTACCTGATTTTCTTTCAAGGATACCTCCTGGTGAAAATAGTCTAGAAATAAATTTAATTGATGTCAGGCCTGTTGACACAGACAAGTGGTACTTCTCTCTACGCAATAGGATCCTTCGAGACCCTGATGCATATGCACATTTCAAGGTTGAGGATGACCAAATTTTCAAGTATGTTCCTTCTGAAATACCTATCAAGTCGAATATTATTGAATGGAAAGTTATAGTTCCTAATTCTCAAAGAATTGCAGTTATAAAAGATTCACATGATCCTTCTGTATGTAGTCATTTTGGTTTTTTCAAAACACTATCTAGAGTACAACAACACTACTACTGGCCCAAAATGAGATGTGATATTCTAAGATATGTTAAATCATGCAAGGTTTGTCAGTCACAAAAACTATCAAACACTCCTCGTATGGGACTTATGGGAGCTGAGCGTACAGTCAAATTCCCTTTTCAGACTATTGCAGTAGACATTATGGGACCTTTTCCTAGATCTTCTAAAGGCTTTACTTACTTATTGGTAGTCTCAGATTTCTTCACAAAATATACATTATTGTGTCCTATGCGTGATGCGAAAGCACCTAGTGTTATCAAATTCATGGAAAACCAAGTATTTTTAGTATTCGGGGTACCACAATTTATAGTTTGTGATAATGGTCAGCAATTCGCTGGTAAACTGTTTAAAAAGTTAGCTGATACCTACAAGGTACAAAAAATATGGTACACCCCTCGTTACTCGGCGCAATGTAATTTTGTAGAAAGAACGAATAAGACAATAGGTCAAGCCATTAGGAGTTATGTAATAGATCATAAAGATTGGGATAAAGAATTATTTAGGATTCAGCAAGCTATTAACACATCTATACACGAAGTCACCCTGTATAGTCCAGCATTTTTGACATTCGGTCGTAATGTACCTCTTTCAGGTGAATATTATGGCAATCTTCCTAGCACCCAAGATATTGAACTTTTACCTGACAGCAGGGATAGTTATGTTCAGAATATCAGTGGTCTTTGTGATGTCTATAAGACAGTTCAGGAGAGATTACATAAGGCTTACCAGAGGAATGCATCTACTTACAATCTTAGAAAGAGAGATCATGTATTTAATGAAGGCGATAAAGTCTGGAGAAGAAACAAAATCCTCTCAGATGCTTCAGTTAAATTTAGTGCCAAGTTAGCCCCCAAGTATGTGTTATGTACAGTGAGAAAGCGGATATCTCGCTTAGTTTATTCTTTGGATAATGTCGATGGATCTCCTGGTGGAGAATGGCATATCAAAGATTTAAAACAGTATTTTGGATCCAATTCAGATGTCTCAGTGGGGTAGATAATCTATTGGATAGATATTTTTGCTTGAACCATAGTTATTTTGATTTGTATACCTATTGAATAGGTTTGGTTTTAGGTAAAAATTAGTTTTTGGAATTTTTCAAGATGAAAGTTCAATTTTTTTGGTGCGTTATGGCACAAATAATTTTAGAGACTACTGTCATGTAGTAAAGTATGGTTCCGTTGTAACCTAGATTAAGGATACATGGTGTATTCCTTGAAAGTATGCATACTGGACACTGGTGTTTATCTTTTTTTATTTTTTTGATGATCCAAGAGGTCTGATCAACCTGAGCATCATTTTTTCCCTGATGTAAATATTCAATTTTCTGGATAGGTTATTTTGTAAATATTTTTTTGTAGTTTTGATGAAAAAGGATTTGACTTTACCAATTATGACATTTCATGATTATGACTTTCCCCTAATATAGACTTACCAATTTTGACTTCCATTGAGGAACGTTTAGTACACGCAGTTACTATTTAATCCAAAGTAATCATAAACTAGTTACTACTCAGTATTTGTAGTTCAAAACCCTTATAAAAAAATGTGTCAACAAGTTGCCAATTTTTTCTCTTAGGAGAGGGGTAGATGTAGCGTTTAGATTTTCTGAATATAGTTTTGGTTTTGATTTTCATACAGGTCTTGGAAATATTCAGGTAAATAAATCATCAATTATGTACATATTCACAGAGAACACTCAGTCAGATAAATGATGCAAATACCTGGTATAGTTAACACTTTTAATTGCAGTTGATTCATATCACACACCTTTTATTTTGGAAATTCATCATCAATTTTCTTAGCATCCTCTCTGATATCAGTACACCTGTAGGATGTGATGATCCAAGCTGAGGCTTTTTTTTCTGATCCAAATAAACAGGTTCTGATATTGAAAGGGGTCAATGCCGAAAGACAGGTTGATAAGTGAAAGTTCTTTTAGCCTGAAATCAAAAGATTAATTAGTTTTTTGGGGACTTATAAGAAAACAATCGCTTACCTGTAGTGTTCTCCAACTAGGATGAATGGATTTGCTTGACTATTTCAGGGATCATTAGGTTGACTGTTCCCTGAGGACGTGTCCCTTTTGAAGAAGAGGTTTATTAATTTTCTAGGATTTTCATTGTTGTTAAGAATGAGCTCACTTGACACCTTTGACATTTTTGATGTTTTTTCTCCAGGACGTCATTGTCAGTTTGACACACTTCACAGTCGCATGTCTTGTCAGCAATTGTTACTGCCGCTGGCTTGGACGACTATAGAGGATGGCTCACGACAGTGTTTCGTCGACGAGTTTTGAAACAGCCCGTGGTTCGTCGAAAAGTTTTTCAAACAGCCATTGGTTTAACCCATGTGAAAAATAATTTCTCCTGTGTGTGACCTTCTACGTATTGTGTTGGCAAAAATGGTACCAGGGATTTTTGGATGAAGTTAGGGAAGAAGGAGGGGTTTTGGAGTTGGAGAAACTTCCGGCCTTGTGGCTTTTTCTCAGCGGCCATGATAGAAGAAGGCTGAAGGTTTTGTTGGTCCGGAGTAAGCACTATAAATTTGGCTTTTTAGTCAAACCCATTTTGGGGATTTGTATTTTCGAGTGTTTTACAAGCTCTAAGGCCAATAGCCAAGTCATTTTTGTGTAATCATTGAGAGATTGTCCGTTGCCACCTGGGAGCCCTACAGCATGGCCCCCCAATTTTTTGGTGCTGGTTCGACCCTTCGCAGAAGGGTCGTAGGAGACCATATTACTCGGTATATGATCGTAGGGTCGTGAAACGACCGGATGGAGGCTGTTTGTGTCTAGTTTCCATTGAGGACACCACCTTTCCCTCGTCAAGATCTCCCATAGGACGATCTTACCATCTTGTTCGGGGATTTTGACCAGTGGAGACCAGGAGTACTCTGGACTCCAGGCGCAGCACCGTATGCTGAGCTGCTGAGCTATACTTCGTTGTAACGCCAGGAGGAATACCAGGAGGAGAGACAGCGGAGCTTAGCCCACCAGTTCAGCGGAGGGCCACCTTTTCGTTTGTGTTCGTCGCAGTGACCTATGCTGCTCACCTTTGCACCCAGTGGACTGTGATCGGGGTGATCTGAATCACTGGAGAGGACCACGCCAGGTTTTTATGAAAAACTGAATTTTTCACCTGTTTTCATGTTTAGTTTTTTATAAATTTCATCATTCACCATCATATGAAAATGAAGGCTTTTGTGAAGCTTTCCCATGGTACCATGTGACAGCGGTTGTCATTTTTCATATTTCTTTTTACACCATATCAAACTGAATTTTTATACTATCCCGTGTTACTGTTGGATTATGATGATTTCTTGTCTCATTTCTTATTTGAGTTTTGAGTAATTATCTTAGTATATTAATTCATTTTACATAGCATTTCAGACCTTGTAATTTTTATACTATCCCGTTTTACTGGTGGATCATGATGATTTCTTGTCTCATTTCTTATTTGAGTATTGAGTAATTATCTTAGTGTATTAATTGCAAGTTCTAAGGCCTCTACAGCGATTGACATGTGCCTTGTCCATTTGGGTGTAATAAATAGGTTTTGAAGATATTTTTGGTTTCATTCATGTACTTGTCTGTCCCAGCAATCTAAGAGAATTTTTTATACATATTTAGGTGTAAATATTTGGCTTTCTCAGTTTCCCAAGTATTATCAACTTTTCAAATAAATTGAGTGGCGCCCTTAAAAAAAACTTGAATTGTTGGGCATTCAATTCTAACGCGAATTCACTTATCTGTTCTCCGATGAAAAGCTGCCGTCTGCATACATGTAACTTATTTTCTTATATTCTGTAGTAATTATTTGGAGGTTGAGAAAAGTAAGCTACAATTGGTACATCCCAGGGACGTACCAGAAGGACATCCCTTGGATGCCTGTTTTAGCGGCCAGCGGATGTCCCTGGGACATCCCTAGTATGTACGTTGTCCCGACAAAGGACATCCCTGGGATGTCCTAGTATAAAATCAGGGACGTCCATGGGAAGTCCCTAGGATGTACTGGTGTTGTTAGTGTATATAGTTAGCGAAACACATGTCGAGACGTAAAAAATCGGTTTGGATAGTGGCGACATAGTTGTGAGTAATAAACATACCAGATGAAATGTTCTAGTTGGAAACAACAGGCCCCTGAACTATTATAGAATCCATTCATAGGTAAACATACAACATAATATATTTTTCGAAGGTATTAAAAGCATGAATAATTGTTGAATACTTACTTTAATTGCAACCCCATTTCGTTTGACTGATTTCAATGCTATGTCATCTGAATCTTCTTTTTCTATTATTTCAAAATCAATTGGAACATATGCTGCTCTGTATACATCTTTCACATACTCCATCATTTGTGGCCCAGAACCAATTCCTGTATAAAATAACGAAACTCACGAATATTTTGCAATTATTTGTATCGTATTTATCGTAGATAATTAATTAGGTATGTATAAATAGGTTCTTTCTTGCACTTTTTGAGCTTCCGTAAGTTATATAGGTACCTACTATACAGTGTGTCCCACTTACCATGCTCACCATGGGTATCTTTTTAACGGTGAGAGATACGAGGTCGGTTAAATGACACCAAATGTGGAGTTTGTCAAGGCCAACTATAATGTGAAAAAATATTTTGATAAAATCTATTCGTTTTTGTTTTATAGGCAAAAAACAGATTTTGATCATTTTCATGTCTCCTCGGTAACTTCTTTATTTATGAAAATATTCAAATAGGAATTTCACATTCTCATGGCAGTTTTTCAAAGTTATGTCGAGAAAAATATGAAATTTATACCAACTCTTCTAGAATTTGAGATATCAGCACCAACTTTAGTTTTCCAGATATAGGTCATAGCTCACTATGACTTAATTACAAATAACTTTCTCTTCTCCTACAGATAATATGTCGCAGTAATAGTTTTGTGTGTTGAAAACAACGGAGCTATCGTCATTTATACAAAAACAAAAAAAATATTCGGAAGCCGCCATCTTGAATTTATACATTTTAACAAAAAAATTATGATCTCCGACCTCAAAAACCCCCACTTACCAATTTTGAATGGAATCGGACCAAATATTGTCCGCCATCTTGGAGCAGCCATTTTTTTTATTTCAAGTGAATTTTTTCCCACTTGGTCGTCCGATTATTTTGAGATTTGGTAGGTGTTCATAATTTTGGTGACAATACATTATGGAATTTTTGTTGAAATTAAAAAAAATGGCTGCTCCAAGATGGCGGACAAGATTTGGTCCGATTCCATTCAAAATTGGTAAGTGGGGGTTTTTGAGGTCGGAGATCATGATTTTTTTGTTAAAATTTATTGATTCAAGATGGCGGCTTCCGAATAATTTTTTGTTTTGGTATAAATGACGATAACTCCGTTGTTATCAACACAAAACTATTACTGCGACATATCATCTGTAGAAGAAAAAAAAGTTATTTGTAACTAAGTCATAGTGAGCTATGACCTACATTTGAAAAACTGAAGTTGGTGCTCATATCTCAAATTCTAGAAGAGTTGGTATAAATTTCATATTTTTTTCGAAATCACTTTGAAAAACTGCCATGAAAATGTGAAATTCCTATTTGAATATTTTCATAAATAAAGAAGTTACGGAGGAGACATGAAAATGATCAAAATCTGTTTTTGCCTATAAAACATTAACGAATAGATTTTATCAAAATATTATTTCACATTATAGTTGGCCTTGACAAACTCCACATTTGGTGTCATTTAACCGACCTCGTATCTCTCACCGTCAAAAAGATACCCATGGTGAGCATGGTAAGTGGGACACACTGTATATAGTTGAGATCCCACGGAAACCTATTATCACTAACACTCATGTGAAAAACTTCACAAACGATGAGACTACCACAAAATTCATCATCTCACACTTTAGTGAAGTTTTTTTACATTCACTATGGATTCCCATCAAGTAGTAATGATTATGTATAAACCAAACAAGGACAACACTTTATGTGATTCAGATCAAATTCAATTTTTTATATACCTTTGTTATGATTGTTTGTTTCTTTCGTTCAATTTTGTTTATTTGTTTTGTATTTATGTTATTCATTTTTACTATTCGTTCCTGTTTTTTATATACTCAAATATAATAATAAGTACCTATGTATAACTGTATCTTGTTTTACGACGCTATACCTATATAGTGGAGTATACTACGGCCTTGCCAAAAATGCTATCTCGGAGACTAAGCGAGATAGATGTATAGTTACTTTGAAGAAAATGATCCCGATCGAATTTTGAGCAACTTTGGTTTTTGTGTGGTCTGTCTGTCTGTACTCTGTGGTAATCATAAATCGATATATCTCTGGAACCCTTTGACATATCGACTTGAAATTTCCCCATCTTATTGTACTCAAAACAATATCATGTCATTAAAATATGAAGGAAATCGGAAAACTCTGAGGTGGTTTTTCCGGGTTTTTTTAGATTTTTCACCGGAAGTTTTTTGTAACCACTCTACAAATCGCAAAAGTGGTCCGATCGATTTCATTTTTTGTGAAAAAAAAAACTCTATCAGGGAGAGACCAAGCCTATTGAAATTGAGCAAGGTCGGAAAATTCCAAGTGGGTTTTGCAAGGAGAATTTCCGAAACACACGGTTCGCTTTAAAACGACATATCTCCTAAACCAATAGACTAAATCCAAATTTGAAAAATGCACCGTATGCTCCTTTGATGACGCAACAAATTATTATATCATATTTTCGTGCATCCATCGGAAAATGGAAAAACAAGTGAAAATCAAAACATCAGAATTTGAAATCCTTTCAACTCAATATATATCGAAAACAATATCAAAATATGCTCATGATATAGTGCCATGGTCTCTACTTCCATCTTACATGAGCAATGATAAAATATCATCTGCTTTTATAGCGTCGTATAAATTATCTGACCTCTATACTAATCTAATACCTAATGAAAACTACATCTATACTAATCTGATACCTTTCAAAAACTACGAACTTCACTTGTGATATTTTTGAGTATTTTTGAATTGGGAATTAGGAATATGATTAATATACAATATGTGTAAGAATGTTTGTTTTGTTTGTTTCTAATTCGTTGGAAATAGGTTACTTTTCTGTTTAATAAAAGTACATAGATGTTTTGAAGTCATATATGTTTATTTCATTATCTTATTTATCGAAATTTACTGAATTTTCGACAAGGTATTTACTGATGGAATAAAAATCGAAATGGCAACCCTGGTCCGCGCGGAGAGTGCGACGACCAACTGTCATATATGCTGTTTTCAAATTGATCATTCACGGATAGATTTTACGTGCAGATAGAACCGTGATGTGAATATGAGTGTTTGAGGCTGACGAAAAATTGTAATATTATTATGTATTCAATGAACTGTTCAAATTGATGTCCATCTTCTCTCAAACACTTTCTCAAAATCATTAAATGTTGTCTTTGTGAGTCCTGAAAGACTGCCTCAGTTGTTGCACTAAGTTCTTCAAGATTTTTGTGCCTCTTGCTTTGAGAAAGTGTGTCAATTGTGTGTTAGGGAAAATGGACAGCAATTCAATAAATGAGTTATTTCGAAATTGTTATAGTCAATATTCAATCAGGTGCTTATTCTACATTAAGAACTTTCTTCTCACTATTTATTTGTTGTTATTGGGTACCTAAATTTTGTGTGTTGTTAGTTCATTACTGTTGGTATTGTTTTTGACCTATTTATAGAAAAATCTTAAGGAATATTCCTTCAATATAGTTGGAACTTTTTTATGTGAAAAATCCATAGCCCCCTATCAAAATTCAAAGTTTTAGTGATTTCGGAGCATATTTGATAATTTCATATTCATACATTACATACCATTTCGAAGAAGAAAAAAAGGAACTTGATGAGCTAATGAAATACTCGGTGTTCCATTCAAAAAAACATTAGTTTGAGTCGTATCTCCAAAACCATACTCCGAAAAAAAATTGAGTGCACCACTGGATTTTGCGTAAAATTCTCTATAGGATAACATTTCAATTTGACATTTTCACTTCGTAGATATACAGGGGGTCCAAAAAGTATGAATTTTGAAAATCGTCATATGTTTCGCATAAATGGAAACAGTTATTCGGCACAACCTCTTTCCAATAGTCCGTCGTATCTCGTAAACCAGGATAAGGACAAGAAACGTAGTTGAAAAGTTTGTCACCGACTACACGCCATTGTGGAAACTTCAGAGGACTTTTCTCAACTTGATCAACCATATGAACCATATGAAGGTACCAACTATCTGAAGGTGGCTTTACTTCGCTCGAAACATTGACAGCATCAATTTCAGGTACAGCTCGCGATAATGCATCTGCCACTACGTTATCACGGCCTTTTCGATGGTATATTTTGAAATTGAATTGCTGTAGGCGTAGCAACCAACGAGCTATACGACCCTTAGGTTCCCTCAAATTATGGAGCCATACCAAACTATGGTGGTCCGTTATTACAGAAAATTCGTAACCTTCAAGATATGGACGTAGTTTCTCGATTGAAGAGAGAACCGCCAGACATTCCCGCTCTACAGTACTATAGTTACGTTCTTGACGTGTCAGGGATCGGCTCACGTAACAGATCACATGTTCGCCATCTTCGAAAATTTGGGAAAGAACACCACCTATTCCGTATGCTGACGCGTCTGTCTGCACTTGGAATAGTCGACTGAAGTCAGGACATGTTAACACAGGAGCTGAAGCTAAGGCGTTCTTGATACCTTGAAAATCACTCTGACAATCTTCCGACCAGCACCACTTTTTATTTTTTGAGAGAAGAGCGGTCATTGGAGCAACAAAAGAAGAAAAGTTCGAGATGAATCTCCTGTACCATGAAGCTACACCTAACACACGATGAACCTCAGTGATGTTTTTGAGCGGTGAGATATTTGAAATGGAAGATACTTTCCCGGGATCTACATGGAGACCCTGGCTATCCACAACGTAACCTAGATAACGTAATTCAGGGGACAAAAGGAACATTTTGATTTGGATACTGTGAGCCCTGCTTTCTGGAAACGTTCGGAAACCTCTTTCAAAGTTATCATATGCTCTTCGAAATAAGATGAAACAATAATAACATCGCCTAAATAGTAGGAACACTTGTGATTCCAACTCAGGGCCTTAAACTTTGTCAATAAGACGTTCGAACATTGCCGGCGCTTTACATAGTTCGAATGGCATTATTTCAAAATGATAGAGACCTCTACCTGATATGGTAAATGCCGTATAGTCACGAGATTCTGGTGGCACTTGCCAATAAGCAGATTTAATATCGATAGAACTCAAGAATTTCGCACCCCGTAATTTGTCTAAGATAGTGGAAATAAATGGAAGTGGGTAGGCATCTTC